CGCTTAACGACTGAGCCACCCAGGCACCCCAATGCTTACAAATTCTTAAGAGTATAAAAAAAACCTTATTCTTAATACTTAGGTGTAGGCTTGAAATTTACATTAGTTGTAATGTAAATTAAATACTAAGAAAACTTACTTCCATATACCTGCTTTGTTACCAAAAGTACCTTCCATTTAAGCTAAAGAATATTAATTACTGAATGGGAAGATGTAAAAATGAGAAAAAAAAAGTATATTTTAGTGCAACTCTGAAACCAGTATGAATAATCCATATCATTAAATATCAAAAGCAGACAATTTTATTACCAAATCAGAGTGCTATCATGCAGTAAGAAATACTAAGCTGCACATATACTCACGACTCCCAACATCCTCTACAAAAGTCATGTCCACAGGGCATATCCACTGGGTCTTCAAATACAGAAATACTGCACATACAAATGTCACACTGGAAATGAAGAAGAGCAATGATTTAAACAAAAGTCATACTTCAGATAGAGAATGATATATTTATTTATTCACTGGCTTAAGGCAAAAATACTACTATAGTAACTATAAAGTTAAGTGTTTCAAAGTTATAAGGGAAGTTAAAGTTAGTGTGCCTACTTCTGATTGAATAACAAATACCATGCCTACTTCATTATAAACTATTAAGGGACTTAAATGTTTTAATGCACAAGTCAAACTCTTAAATTCCAAATTTATGTATTAATCAGCAACTATGCATTTAGGGAAAAAAAGTATAAGAAACAAACCATTAAAATCTATTCAGGTCAAGATCATATTGTCCACTGCAAAATAACCACTTCAATATCATGTTCTTTAGCCTATACTCATCCCAGAAAATCTACAAAAACAGAGCAACTTTGTGTTTCAAGATAAAAATTCCCAGATATTCAGAGTAGGAATTTAAGGATTTCTACCCAAGGAACTCTGCTACAAAACTATGTATCTTCTAAACAATAACTTATTAGAAGCAAACATTCCAATGTTACAGATGCAAATTAGAGAAGTTGGATTTTATCTTCCAAGAAGGCCTAGATAAAACCCAGAATGCTTTTATTTTTATCACACATTTTGAGTGGCTGAACCATTAAAGAAACGTCAAAATTTCCTGCAACAGTATACCAGTGGTATGCCAATTAAAAATGCAGACAATGGCAATACTGTTTCTCAATAAAAAGCAAACATTTATTCCACAAATATATCTAGATGATATACTCCAAAGCTTAACTGAAACAAATATATAATCATCAATACATTATAAGTGTTTTCAAGAAAATATAAAAATTTTTTCATATTTTTTTAATTTAAAGTGCCTACCACAAACTCAACTTTTAATATTTCAGTATGGTGTGTTTAAAACTTTAAGCACCTAGAGATTTTAAGTGTAAATATAGTAGATGGCTTTCTCAAACTCTTTTATGTTTTCTGTTTTGAAATGAGAAAAGAAAACCTTTTGTTTTTCAATCTGTAATTCAGAGATAACAAAAATATTCTGTGATAATAAATATTTGTACCAAAGGGTGAAATAACTGAATCCTTTAAGAGGGGTATAGGATTCAATTACAAGGGTTCCATGAAACTATATATATACCTATATTTTGAGACAATGAAAGCACGGGGGTAAGGGGAAGGGCAGAGGAAGAAGGAGAGGGAGAGTGAGAGAATCTTAAGCAGGCTCCACACCCAGCACAGAGCCTGACATGGGGCTCAATCTAACAACCCTGAGATAGTGACCCAAGCCAAAACGAAGAGTTGGCTGCTTAACCAACTGAGCCAGCCAGGCGCCCCTTCCATGAAACAATATTAAATAATTTAAAAGTTAAAAGACTAAACACAAAACTATGGGAAGTACATCGAATACTGGACCATACCAAACTGGTGTCCAAATCCCCAGGAGATAAACTTATTTCATCTGGAGAGGTGACAGAAGAGCGTGTAGTCCTTGGAGTTCTTGGAGAAGGGAGTGTGTCCCAGGCATTATATCCACTTGGTGGTGGAGTTGGCATCTGAACACCTGATCGTTGGCAGCAGTTCTCTGGGTTGGACATCCAAGCTTCAAGTAATTTCTCCCTGTCCCAGTCTTTAAGAAAAATGGAATGATATCTCTCAAAAACAGGAAATATGGTGATGTTTTTTAAGAGTTTCATATAACAAAATAAAGTGAGGATAAATTAAAGAGATATAGGCCACCTAAAGGAAGGAAAATTATTTATACCAAATTAGTAATTACAAATGAATATTCAGGTATATTATATCCATTAATAAATAAGTAAATATATATTTATTTTTATTTACTTATTTATTTAAAGTAGGCTCTATGCCCAGCGTGGTGCCTAACACAGGCCTCGAACTCATGACCCTGAGATTGAGACCTTAGGTGAGATCAAGAGTTGGATGCTTAACTGACTGAGCCACCCAGGTACCCCAAACCCTGAATATTTTTTTTTTAAAAGATTTTTATTTATTTATTTGACAGAGAGAGATATGGTGACAGAGCGAACACAAGCAGGGGGAGTGGGAGAGGGAGAAGCAGGCTTCTTGCAAAGCGGGGAGCCTGATGCAGGGCTTGATCCCAGGACCCTGAGATCGTGACCTGAGCTGAAGGCAGACGCTCAACGACTAAGCCACCCAAGTGCTCCACCCTGAATTTTTATTATTATTTTTTAAAAGATTTTATTTATTCATTTGACAGACAGAGACACAGTGAGAGAGGGGACACAGCAGGGGGAGTGGGAGAGGGAGAAGCAGGCTTCCTGCCGAGCAGGGAGCCCAATGAGGGACTCGATCCCAGGATGCTGGGATCATGACCTGAGCCGAAGGCAGACGCTTAACGACTGCGCCACCCAGGTGCCCCCAAATATTTTAAAACAGAATTTAAACTTTTATAATCTACTGTGACTTACAACTGTGTCAATATCTAAAATATCGTCAAAACTTCCAGTCATTTCTACTAATAATCAAAAGAGGTGCTTCACACATCACTTCTGGAAGTTACTAAATTTTTCATGGCATAGATTTGACTTAGCCATTTTACTCTTTTCAAGAAAAATATGTAAAATTTGCAATTTGTTTCACTGGTGTCAAGTTGTAAAATGATTACATAGCTTACTATAAACACATCAAAATGCCAACGAGTCCAAAAATCATTTGATAAACAGCTTGAAAGCAGAAGAAACTTCTGAAGGGATTATGGTTATAAAGTTTTAGTGCATTAGGTATACATTCTGTATTGAGTTCACATCTGACTTAACTAAAAAAGATGATCTTCCTAATATGAACACTTTTAAAATAGACAAGTGATGCATGTTGTTACATAGTTCAGAGCCATAAAAACCTAACCCATTAAAAATAATAAATAAATACATCCAATTATTTTGCTGTTTTACACACATTATTTCATTTGTTCCTCCCAACAAACGTTTCAATCATTATTTAGGTGAAGAAACGAGGACTCAGGAAAATTCTGTAACTTGCCTAGGCTCACACAGATAGTGAGGGATTTAAAACCAATTTCTGTGATTCTAAAACTTGTTTTCTTTCCACTGTAGCACAATGAAGTATAGGGTCATGAGTAGTATAGAGTCAATTATTCAACATAGGCCCATTCTATACAATTTTACATCTCTAATACAAATAGCTGTGGAAATGTTCTATGCAAGACTTTTCTCAACCATATTAAATCAGTGTATTTGGTGGTTTAGCAGAATAATTATGATTTAGACATGCAATACAGGTAGAACGAGTATATTTCCAGCTGTGTAAACCATATGAGCAGGGCACAGAAATATAAAGAAGAGACGTGAGCATTTCTGTAAAGTTACAGCATACCATGTTGTCGTTTGAGAAGATGGGAAATAAGATTGGGAAAGGGGTCAGATTACAAAGAGGAAAAAAATCCAACAAGTGAAAAAAACTGCATGGGTGCATTCCAGGAAATGCTGCTACATGGATGTTAGTTTTTTTTTTTTTTTCAAATATTTAATTTATTTATTTGACAGAGAGAGACACAGTGAGAGAGGGAACACAAGCAGGGGGAGTGGGAGAGGGAGAAGCAGGCTTCCCGTGGAGCAGGGAGTCTGATGCAGGGCTCGATCCCAGGACCCTGGGATCATGACCTGCGCTGAAGGTAGACGCTTAACGACTGAGCCACCCATGTGTCCTGGATGTTAGTGTTTTGATAGGTCATTACTTACTTAAAAAGTTAAAATTACTTTTCTTAGCACAGTAAGATTATTCTTCAAAAGTACCCATTATATCACTGTTTAATAAAGGAAAAAAAGAACTACTATAATTTCTATAAACAGATACTAAATATGTTAAATTTTAATCTTATTTACTATAAATATTTTTCAGCACAACTTTTGCTTGGATTCTATCACATCATTCACTTAGCAAATATTTGCTGAATGTCTTTTATGTGCCATGCACTGTGTCAGCCAGTAGGGATACAATGGGAGGAAAAATTAGGCAGGATTCCTGCCTTCATGAAACTTACAGTCTAGCAAGGAGAAAGACATTAAGTAAAAGAATCATCACTGTCAGGGTGCCATGAAGGACAGGTAGAGAATCCCAAGTCAGAGAAAGGTCTGACTCTGGAGAAATAGTTTGAAGTGGACAAATGAAAGATGAGTGGGAGTTAAGTAGTAAAAGGGAGGGGGAAAGACATTCTAGACAGGCAGTGCACAGCATGTTCAAAGTCCCTGTGGTAGGAGGGAAGATGGCATCCTTGTGAAGTTAAAAAGGTCAATGTAGCTGTAGCATGGAGAGCAGAGGGAAAACACTGCATGAGATGAGGCTGAAAAAATAGGCAGGGGCTAGATCATGCAGGACTTTTTAATAACACTTCCATCATCAGCTCAGGAGTGATAGGAAGTCACTGAGAAGCTGAGTTTGGGGTTAGGAAGGACAGGTTGTCATGATCAGATTTGAAAAGATCATTCTGACTACAACAAACAAAGAAACTAGATAGGGCAGGAGTAGAGGGAACACAGTCCAAATAGGAGGGGAATGGGTAGTATAAGTGAGAGATGATGGAAGCTAGAAGTAGGTGGTTGGTTGTAGTGGAGATAGAGAAAGAGAGGAGTTTAACACATGGAAGGTGGAAGTGACAATTTGGCGACAATAGGACATAGAGTCTGAAGGACAGGATATATCAAGGTTGGTGTCCCAGGTTTACCCACCTGGTTGGTTCGTGCCATTTATGTAAATAGGGAATACCAGAGAATCAGGTACAGATGGAAGAGCATGATTTTAGTTTCAGACATAATGAGTTTAAGATGCTTTTGAGAGGGCACCTGGGTGGCTCAGTTGGTTAAGCGACTGCCTTCGGCTCAGGTCATGATCCTGGAGTCCCGGGATTGAGTCCCGCATCGGGCTCCCTGCTCAGCGGGGAGTCTGCTTCTCCCTCTGACCTTCCTCCTTCTCATGCTCTCTGTCTCTCATTCTCTCTCTCTCAAATAAATAAATAAAATCTTTAAAAAAAAAAAAAGATGCTTTTGAGATATCCTAGAGATGCTTTAAAATAGGCAGTTATAGGGGCGCCTGGGTGGCTCAGTCATTAGGTGTCTGCCTTTGGCTCAGGTCATGATCCCAGGGTCCTGGGATCGAGCCCCGCATGGGGCTCCCTTCTCTGCAGGAAGCCTGCTTCTCCCTCTCCCACTCCCCCTGCTTGTGTTCCCTCTCTCGCTGTGTCTCTCTCTCTCTGTCAAATAAATAAATAAAATCTTAAAAAAAAAAAAAAAGGCAGTTATATACAAGAGTGTGGAGCTAAGAAAAGAAGTCTAGTCCAGAGGGAGAAATCTTTACCTATAGAAACCTTGGAAGAAGATATCATTTCCTAGGAAGAGAGCAGAGTGAGAAGATGTAGACCACTGATGTTTAACTACCTAGAGAAGATGATGAGTCTTCAAAGGAGCTTAAAGAATACTTCAATATAAATTAATTCTAAGCATAATCAAATTACCTTTGGTCTCGTATTTTGTAAATTTTACTTATTTTCTTATTAGGTAGCACTTGTATTACTGAGGAAATACTCAGAGAATGACCTCTGTATTCCTAACAGAGTCTTCCTTAAAATTCAATTACTGCTCAGTAAATACTGCCAAACATTTCTGTCTTCTGCTTAATCTAGATCAACTTCATTACCTTGGGACTACATTTGACAACAGATAATATAATACTCAAATCTACTTTCCTGTGTAAAGCTGAGTGAATGTTACCCAGGATATAATCTATAAATCTTCTAAGTAGTTCAGTTAATAGCTCTGAAACACAGCCTATCCTTGTTTTGAGAGCAATTAGTAGAAATTGTAGTTCTGTGCACTATTTTATTCACTAACATCAGTTATCTCTATCTTATTTGATTATCAAATGTCACTGTTACTAGTATTATCCAAATAGTATAGAAGAGATGTCCATTTGAAAACCTGCTAGCCTCTATTTTATGCCTAAATAGGGAAATATAGACCTATTAAGTAAGTTATCAAAAAAGTTATCACAGAATAGATAATACCAAATAAGAAAATTCAATTAGATTATCACCTTATTAGAACTGACCCCTATTATGTAAAAGAAGTAACTGAGGAAAATATCAATGGAGTAAAAATGGAGTTGATAATTTTTTTGGGGGGGGAGGGTCAGAGGGGGAGAGAGAGTGAATCTTAAGCAGGCTCCATGCTCAGCATGGAACTTGACGTGGGGCTTGATCTTTCAACCCTGAGATCATACCTGAGCCAAATCAAGAGTTGGACACTTAACAGAGCCATCCAGGTGCCCCTGGAATTGATCATTTAATAATACTTGATGACACAATGTAAACAAATAGAGATGAAAATGTTCCTTTAAAAAATTTTTGGTAAAGTTAGATTAGATTCTTTATATATTGTAACTTAGACTGTGATACTTCATATAACTTAGATTCTCTATATATTGTTACTCGGAGTTACGATACATTACCCAGAAATGGTTATAAGTATACAAAAAATGCTTCAGTATAGAACTGCTGCTTGCAGTTAAGTGTGGGCAATTGACTGAATTCTGGACAATGGAATATGTGCAGGAGTAACGTATATATAAATAACACTTCAGGTATATTATTTATTATATATTATTCATTCTATAACCATTTTCTGAGAGCTTAATGTATGTCAGGTACTGTGGAAACAAAAAACATTAAAAGCTTCCCTCTAAGACCTCCCAGGTTAATCTAGAGGAAAAGCAAATAAAGAGATTACTATAAAACTGTATTCTAACTGTATGACACAGGATGTAGTAGGAATAGACAGGAAGGGTCTCAGTGCAGACTTGGGAACACATAAGCAGAAAAGGTTTCCTGGAAGATGTGGTTACTAAGGACAAGCAAGAGTGGGTAATTAAAGAAAGGGGGAGATGACAGCCCAGGTAAAGAAATCTGGGTCATGAAGGTCTACTAAAGAGTTTAGATGGTTTTAAGTGTGTGGAAAGGTAGTGAAGGGTTTTTCAGCGAGGGAGTGACATGCTCCAATGTGCATTTTAAAAGAACAGTCTAATGGCAATATGAAAAATTAATAGGGTAAAAGAAGAATGACAACACCGGAGACCACGACTCAGGAGACTATGATTTAGATGGAAACTAATGACAGCCTGAATTTAACTCAATGGCAATGGGAATGGAAAGAGCTAGAGAGGGAGCTGGAGCCGGGGATGGGAAGATGAGAGACACTTAAGAAATGATGAGACTGTGGCCAAATGTAACAAGCACGGAGGAGTGAAGTATGACTTTCACATTTCTGGCAGGGTAGTTTGATGAATGTGACGCTCGTGCATCAAGACAGTGGGAGAAAAGAGGAGTTTAGGTGTGGACATCCTTAGATTGAGGAAAAAATGTTAAACAGACATTTAGAAACCCAACCTCAAATACTTTATTAAAGTCAGGTTGTAGATACACTTTATTGTTTGGATGATTTTTGAAACCTTTGGTTTCAATAGATAAATGTGTATAGCAATGCTTCTCTGAGACTGGTCCACTTGGTAGGCATCTTTACAACTTGTATTTTTAAGCCTCACCCCTCACCTAATGACCTAGACTCTCCAGAAATAGTCTAGGAATCTCTGGTTAGTTTCTCAGGTAATCCTTATTTATACTAAAATTTACGAGCCACTGGTATATAAAGTGGAAATAATCTCAAGTACAGAACCCTGGGAAATATCAATATTAGAGGTAGGGATTCTAGAAAGTTATATACCAAATTATTCACAGTGATGACCAAGGGATGATGAAATATGGAATTTTAAATTTTCTTCTGATCAAAAAATTATATAAAAAATTTTGGAAGTTGACATTCTATTTTATTTTA